TCTGGTATCCTCAGTAGTTCTATTTTAAATCTCGGATTTACAAATTGGCATTCTTGTTCCATCATTAGTCTTGTTGTCTTGGTTGTGTGAGGATCACTAATGGTGCCTGCAAACTACACTCCTAATCCTGCAAAGATGAAGAACAGGATTTGGTGGTGGATTCTACCAAGTAGTGTCACCCTAGCAGTAACCTTTCCACTTCCTTGAGAGACTCACTGGTTTTCCTTTTCTTTTATACTTCAAAAAATAATAATGGATATTGTCAGAATTTAGAAGAGAGGGATCAAAAACATATATTGATCAGCAATATCAATTGTCCGGCATTGTTGTAGGTACTTAGAAAACATCAGAACAGATGAAGATTCCTTCATTCTAGTGTGGGAGATGGACAATATAAGTATAACGTATGAACAAAGAATATAATTTTAGACTATTTAAGTGCTATGGAATAAAACAAGTATAGGCTTGAGATTGCTAAGAAGGACTGATTACAGTATTAAATAGCATGGTACATGTAGGCTTCATTAAGAAAGCGTAATTTGAGCAAAGACTTGAAAGAAGTGAAGGTGCTGGTTAAATAATACTTGGGGAAATAGGGTTCCGAGTAGAGGCTCCCAGGTGGAGGGGTGTCTGGCAGATGTAAGATACGGCCAAGAGGTTAGCGTGGCCAGAGCAGAGTGGATGAGAATGGGGAGAGCTGTAGTAGAGAGATGCAAAGGTGGGGGTAGAAACATTTCATAGGGCCTTTGGGGCCATTGTAAGGACTTTGGCTTTTACTCTAAAGTAGATGGAGAGCCTCAACAGGCTTTTAACACAGAGGAGGTACAATATGATTCACATTTTAAAAGAAAGCATCACTTTGGCTACCATCCTGAGAATAGTTTGTAGGAGGTCAAAGATAGAAGGGGTGGTAATGGTGGAGATTGGCTTCTAGCAAAACCAGAATATTTTGAAGGTAGAGCTAACAGAATTTTCTAAGAGACTGAGTGAAGAATGTGAGAAAAAGAGAAGTCAAGGATGACTCTGAGGGGTTTGGTTTGAGCAAGTGCAAGGATAAAGTTTCCCTTTAATGGGATTCTGTGGGGAGAGCAGGTTTGGTGTGGGAGATGTTGGAGTTAAAAGACAAATTTGGGACTTGTTAATTTCTTTGCCTATTAGCCATTTGACTGGAAATATTAAGCAGCATAGGTGAGTCTGAGGTTTGGAATAGATGACTGCCTGGTGATACAAATTTGGGAGTTACTTACATATAGATGGCATGTAAAGTCATGGGACAAGTTGGGATCATGAATAGTTGAGTGTAAATAGAGAAGATTACCAAGGACAGATCCTTGGGGTCTCTCCAACATTATGAGGGGGAGAAGAGGAAGAACTAGCAAGGGATACTGAGAAGGAATGGGGGCACTTCATGGACATTCAATAGGAAGAAAAGCATGAGAGTGTCATGCCCTGGAAGGCAAGTGAAGTGTATCAGAGAGAGTAAATGATCAAACATGTCAAACACTGATGGGAGGTCAAGTCAGCATGGGGACTGAGAGCTCATAATGGGATTTTTCAAACACCGAGGTAGTTCTTGGGGAATGAAGATGAAAACTTGCTTGGTGTTCTTACTTGAGTGTGACCATTGCATGTTGTTCTTGAGCAATACACACTCGTTTGTGACCACTGTCCCAGAGACAAGTAGCATACCTATGAGAAGGGAGGAGCCCGTGTATTCTGCAAAACCCCTGCTTCTGGCCCCTTTGTATAGAAATCATGCTTCTTTACACCAATGAAGTGAGAAAGTTGTAATTAGATGTTTCTGTGGGCTCATAATTTCTGCCCAAAAGAAATTAATGTGAAGGATAGAGCAGCTGCTCACTCTTGGGAGGGTTATTAGTTTTGCTTCTAGCAGCTCAGCTATAAGCTTGGGTAACCTTTCTGTGTCCTCTGCAGAATGAGTGAGTATTCAGCTGTGGTACAAGGCAATTTTAGAGTTAAAGATGTTTTGTTTTTTGTTTTGTTTTGTTTTGTTTTTAGAGTTAAAGATGTTTATGTTAAGGCCAGCAAAGGAGTAAATGACAATTATATAGAACATCATCCCCCACTTGTACCTGGTAGGGAGTAGAGGGAGGAAAAAGGCTCTTTAACCTATTTCTATATGTTGGGTCCCATGATTTTTTCTCTGAGATAAAAAGAAAGAAATAATGATTTGATCAAGAGAAGGCCACCCACTGTGTCAGACCTAAAGGGGCTTCAATGAGATAAGGTTTGGGGACACACTAGGCAGGGCAGATGGTGTGTGTAAAAGCAAGGCAGGCTGCAAACCTAAGGCTCATAGGATTGTGGTAGACCAGTTTGGATAACATTTAAGGAGGCCTAAAACAATTTCCTGGTAAGTATGAAGAGGAATCCTGTGGTCAGAAAGTGAAATTCAGACTAAATTATCTGGGGTGTAGGTATGAGTAAAAGGCAACGGGGGTGTGGTTGACTTAGGGCGTGACTGCCCGTAGGTTAGACAGTGCTGGTCAACGTATGGTCCCCAGATCAGCAGCATCACCATCCCCTGAGAACTTGTTAAAAAATGCAAATTCTCAGGCTTAACCTGAGACCTACTGAGCTAGAAATTCTGGAGGTGGGCCCAGCAATCTGTTTTAACAGGTGATTCTGATTCATGCTAATGTTGAAAAACACTGGTCTAGGACTGAACTAGGCATTTACTAACTGGAATTGGGGAGAATATTATAAATATAGAAGTCAATAAAGGTTTTGAGCCTGGCTGAGTGGGTGAAGTCAATTGTTCAGATTTTCTAAATATATAATATTTTCTAAATATATTTCTTCCTCGTTCTTCTGAAACAAATAATAATAACAAATTGAAAGATATTTCTCTATCAAGTTATATAGCTGTTGCCTGTAAGTGTATACAGTCATATATATATATATATATATATATATATATCTCCACTGGCTAACAACTAACAGGGGTCTAAACCATAGTTGTTTATTGTTTATTTGACAGAAATTCTGAAGTTGGTCCAGAGTTGGTTCAGAGGCTCTTTTAATTCATCAAGGTCTCAGTCCCAGAAGCCAGGCTTTTCCTCTTTCCACACTGCCACCCTCCTGGTAGCACCATACTGGTGATGTGTCTCCTCATAGCCACAAAATGGCTGCCCAAGCTGCAAGCATTATATCCTGGTAGAAGAGCATTTTACACAGGAAGGAAGTTGGTGGAAGCCAGAGTGCTTTCTTTTCCTATGCCATTCACTCATCTCCAACCCCATCTGCCCCCCATACACCTCCAGAAGACTTCTTATGTAACACTATACAAAACTGGATCCCATGCTTGCCCCGAGACCAGTCACTGGCACATGGGACTAGATTAGATATAGCAAGATCCATGCCCTTGGGTTTGGGCCTGTTGTACATCCTAATAAAATCAGAGTTCTCTTAGTCAAGGTAATGGGGCAGGGCTGTAGGGAGAGCAAGTAACAGTGCTTGCTATAGTTATAAGGACATATACACTTAACCTATATTTCTTTATTTATTTACCTATATTTGCATACTGCTTCTGAGTAATCTAAATTTTCTACTGAATATTTCTCCCTCATGCCTTTATCGTTGACAGTTTTAATAATAGAGAGAAATTATTTTTAATAACCTCATATTAAAGTTATTTCTAGTGGGAAGACCAGACTTGAGATTTCCCAAGTTGGCCTATTATTCACATCAGGCTACCATGACAGCTAGTGCATTAGCTGAAACAAAACTCTCTGAGAGATGTTTTTGAAATGGTACCAGCATTATTTTTAAACAAATAGCAAACACTAATACTTTCCTTTGGTGTAATTCCATATTTTATATTAATTTGGGACAAATGTGTGAAACTATGTATAATGATTAATATCAATTTGTTGTGTGCTCCTATGGGAGTCTATCCTAGAGTATCCAGGTCATCCTATAGTGGTTCAAACATACAATAGCTCATATTCATGCTGGAAAGAACAGCCTGCTGGAGATGGGGCTGAATGTTTCCTACAGTGTCTCTACAAAGGAGAAACTCTGCCCCTGTTTTTTTCCAGCCCCTTCTAGATGTCCATCTAGAGAAGCTGCTGACTATCTGAATGGTTAGGGCTTCACCCACTGGAAAGTATATCACTAAGGGGCAGGGCCCTGCCTCGAAAGGTGATGGACTTCATAGTTATATTCTTTATTCCAGCTTTGCCATCTGGTTTCTGCTGATACGTGACCGGCATGCCCGATTCAAGGGGGAAGGAACAGGAAGCTTTGCTTGAGTTTCTTGGCCTGAGTCACATTTTCCAATCTAGCTCAGTTTTACCAGGAAGAAGCCCTGTATGTGGAGGAATGACTGCCACATGCCCAGCGATGTGTAGAGCACCATATGACTTCCCACCCAGTTAGTGTTCTTTGTGGTCATACTCCCTTGAGGATACCACAAGCCGAGGCAGGGGAAATGGTAGAATTAGGGCACCAAACCTTACCCAAAGTCCTTAACACTGACAGACACTAAGTTTTCTTTACAATAACATCAAATGAGGTGCTGACTTTGGAAACAAGCAAAAGTTAGTCACAGTTTTGAATCATAATGGTGCAGAAGCAATGAAGGAGCATCTGAAATTTTCTTGAATTTTCAGAAAGTAATTTGTACTGTAAAAGCTATTTAAACTACAGAGAAAGCACAGAGATCAGCAGTTTTTAACGTGACTCCTGGGCTCTCAAAAGTTCTTAACTGGCATTTGTAAAGGGTTCTATTAGCTTGCAAATATATGAGCATATTGGTTTGACTACTGCTGCTTTAATAAAGACTGTAATTTTTACTTAAACCATGTAATTATATGGTAAAAATATTATGCTTTCCTTTCAAAATTCCATTTATTCAGGCCATATCTGGTGTCAAGAAACAGAAACCTATTCCATCTGAGCTAAAGTAAAAGTGTGATTTATTGTAAAGATAATTATCCCAAGCAAATCCAAGGAGAAAGAATATACAGCCAGGCCTTATGAAGCTGGTGAACCTGACTAGCTCTGAAGACCTCACAGCAGAACTGTGCAGCTCTCTCTAAGTCACTCCCTTTACCATGATCCAGACACCAACTTACTCAGCCATTTTTCTCAGTGCAAGTTTTTGACACTGTGAGAGAAAATCTATTGGTTCCCCTTGAGTAAGGTGTATTTATTCTAGTCCAATCAGTTGAAGCCAAGGTGGTAAGAACAGCCGAGCAAACATGGCCACTCATGTCCATGCCTTAGGTATGGCCTGTGGGGGGAAGCAGGCTCTCTTAGAAGCATGCACAGGCAAGGATGCAATGACTGACCATTGTATTTTAATGTAGTTTAAAAAAACAGCAATTGACACCAAACTATATGAGAAAATAGGACAAAAAGCAAACCTATGAGGGGATTCAGGTAATACAAAATGATTGAACTCAATCTTTTTGTGTGTGTGCAGTCACATTATTGTCTAGCATAACATTATCTAAGATGGAAGTCAATCTTGCAAACTATTCTTCCCTAAATACAGGCATTCATGGGTCTTTCCATATTTATTACACCACCAAATATCTTTATAGTTGGTCTAATTTATCTGTTGCTCTTCCACCCTTTTGTCTTCAGAATCTGTAAAAGGAGAATGAAAAGGTGTAACTATTTAAAAATCCACTAGTAACCTATGTTTTTATTAGCTTTTTGTTTGCTCTCCTCTTTCTTCTGTTTCCTGGATTCCTGTATTCAATCTGATTCAACTGAGGGAGTGTGTGTGAGAGGGATTCTATCTATGAGGGACATCAAACCACAAGACCATCATTAGATCTTTTACATACAGCAAAACTAAACTCTGGCCTCCCTCCTGACCTTAATCTATTTCTACTTGCAGTGTTGCTTGGTTCCTTTGCTTCCCATTCTGAATTTTGCAGCTACATGGTCAGTTCCATTTCTTCTCTTGGCCCTGCTTCTCGTCTATGTACCAATTCTAATTCCCCCTAGTTAGCCCCACTCCAAAGCCCATCATCCTATACATTTTCAGAATGGAAGGTACCATGGATTTGTTCATTTTATTGGACATTCAAATAAGAGTGTGGAGGCGTGGATGAATATCCTGACTGGTCAGCCCCAAAGAAGTCTGTATCAGCCTAGTTTTCAAAAAATACCATGACAACTAGGTTATAGACTTTGAAAATCTGGACTTGCAGATATATCTGTGTCCATTTCCTTACTTATTCATTCTGAAAGAAGGATTCAGTTGCCATTGACATAGCCCTGGTTATAAATGTAGGAAGGGAGGTTCCAAAAGTGTCAGCAAACAAAGCTGGGGATGTAAGGGGGGAGGGTTTGAAAAGAATTATATCTGGGGGACACTTGATCTCTTCTACCCAGTTGTATTAATAGAATAAGAAAAGACTAGTTAATGTTTTGTTTCCCCACCTACCATTTATGGCTTCTTGACTGTATGGCTTTTCAGAGTTGGGTTGAGGAATCAGATCTAAAAGATCCACTGCTGTAAATAGAGAATGCGCAGAACAGAGATTTTAGTATCTAAAGCACATTGATTTTTGAAGTTAGTCTCATTTTCTCCTATCCTGTTGCTTCCACTCCAAGTTTCTCTGAATGCCTTGTTCTTGGGAAGCTGCAAGATGCCTGATCACTTTTATATGGAGTCTTGAGAACTGGACTACGTTCTTCTGACCACAACGTCATTCTCTAAGACCTGACAACGTGAGTCATGACCATTAGCACTACAGAGATGACTCGATTGACTTAGTGTCTGACATAACCAGGTTTTTTTCCTCATCTTGGATTAGATCAGAACACATTCTATCTTTATATTCTGAAACCAAAATTAGATAAAACATATTGGATTTAAAATATAACTAACAACTATGAAATGGTCTAGGTCAGTGTTTTTCAAACTTGGTTGACCATGACTCACAGTAAAAAATGCATTTTACATTATAGTTCAGTATGTGCACTTGTGTGCTTACAATAAAACAGAAAAAGTTACATGAAACAGGACTTACTCTTTTCTTATCTTTTCTACTCATCTTTGTTTTTCTTTTCTATTCTCTTCTAGTGCATTGGGAAAAAGAATCTGTTCTTCTTACTTACTCTTTTCTTATCACTTTTATTCCAGTTTAAGGAAAAAATGCCAGTTGTTAAATTGATTTCATCACCCACGATTTTTTTTTTCTTTTTTTAGTAGGCTTCACACCCAGCATAGAGCCCAAACGGGGCTTGAATTCATGACCCTGAGATCAAGACCTGAGCTGAGATCAAGAGTCAGACGCTTAACTGACTGAGCCACCAGCCGCCCCCTACAAAATTTTTTTACGACCCACTGAGGCCACACTGTGGAAAGCACTATCAAGTGATATTTGATTCTAATGCTCATTCAACACATAGCCCCTCAAACAACCTGAAATCAGCCCCATTTTCTCTACTTTATCACCACTAACCTTCTTCAGTCTGTGTAAGATTATGACTTAGTAGAGGGTCTAAGAATCTAACATTTTAATTAACAACTTGGATTGTTCTGATGCCTAAACTCTAGAATACATACTCTACAACTTGGCTCTTTTTCAACCATGCTGGAAAGCTGCCAGTCACCTTGCTCATGACAGATCTGACAGTTTTTTCTCAGTTCTCTCACAAGGGCCTTGGAGCCCTCAGTCATTTCCTTGAGTATTGCTCAATACCAGCTGGGCCAACTGGAACAACAGTGCTGCACCCATCCTAGAGATACTATATAAATACCTATTCTGTCTGGGACTGAGCTCACCACAGTCCTCCGGACAGTGATTTGGGTGGCTCCATCATCTTCGAGGGGGCCAATGAGAAAGCCAGGTTAGTTCTCTAAGCTAATAGCAGCCATTTCATGCTTGTCTCGCCACCCACCAGCCACTTGGCTGAGCTCTCAACCAGCCAAACTAGAGATGACCTCCACGTGTCTCTTCCAGTTCGACTCATCATTTTGGGATCCTCTGCTCTAGCCCAGCTACTCTGTTTATTGTCTTCTGAATACAACTTTAGACTGCCTTGGGTTCACACTTCTGGTCATGCCTTGGCCACCTGAAATGCTTCCTCTGCCAATGTGGCTCCTTCTGGTGGGGCACCTTTCACAGCTTCTCTGACTCCTCCACCTGCAGGCTTCTTTTTCACTACATGACATGAGAAATTTCTACTCATCCTTCCAGACTCAGGTCCCATGTCACTTCTACTTGAAAGCCTTTCCTAACATTGCTGTCCCTATCAGGAGACCCCCAGTGTGGTTCCATTATACCTGGGCCTCTCTCTACATACCACTTCCTTCTCAACAGGGTAGGTTTTTTTTTTTTTTTTTTTAAGATTTTATTTATTTATTTGAGAGAGAGAGAATATATGAGTGGGGGGGGAGGGGCAGAGGAAGAAGCAGACTCCCCACTGAGCAGGGAGGACATGAGGCTCGATCCCAGGACCTCAGGATCATGACCTGAGCCAAAGGCAGACGCTTAACCGACTGAGCCATCAAGCCCCTCTCAACAGGGTAGTTTTTGATTGGCTTTGCTGTTTCCCATGCTAGACGGTGAGCACTTTGAGAGCAAGAACAATATTTGATTTATGTTCATATCCCTAGGACCTAGTGTGGTTTCTTTCTTTCTTCTTTTTATTGTGCTAAAAACATATAACATGAAATCTACCTTTTAAACATGTTTTTCAGTGTACAGTACAGTATTAACTATGTATACATTGTTGTACAATAGATCTCGAATATTTTCACCTTGTGTGACAGAACCAGCAGAGTTTCTGAATAAATGATCATTTCATTATCTTTAACCATCTTAAGTCTCAACTAGATTTGAAGATACGACTAAGTCTTCTTCATATATTACAAGGACTTCTCTTTTCCGTGTGCCTTTCTAGATTATTTATTATATACTTTCTTTCCTTTTGACCTGTATTGCTTTGTTTTATTGAGTTAAAAAACTCATTGTGCGTGTTGGCATTTACTTCCTCGTATTCTCAGGGCTCCTTTCCCCAGACATATCTGTATGGCTATAACTCTGTCATTGTGTCTCCAGTGTCTCTCACAGTGACCAGTATACAGAACGTGCTCAATGAATATCTGTTAATTTCCTTCAAAATTTTAATAGATTTTAAATATGATCTGATTTTTGAATATAGGATGAGGGTGATAAAAGATTTAATTTCCACTTTGTGGCTAATAGATGATTAAATTCCTTTCTTCGAAATTTAGTGTTATGCCTTGGATAAAAAGGACATTTTTTTTTCTTCAATTGTTATACCTACCATCTGAGACTCTTTGATTTTCCTGGTTGTTGTATGTGGTAGGTAAGGTGGTCTTTTCATCGCTTTTGGCTATGTCAGTCTCTAAAAGTCAAGAAATTAAGTATTAAATTAATCAAAAAGATTAAACAAACCTCATGCATGAATCATCTCATTGATATGCTAATAAGCAGAGATCTCCAAACTGTACAAAATTCTGATTATTTTCAATGCCCTGATGTTGGAATCTCTGGAACAGTGTTTTGGGCAAGGTCTGAAGTTGACAGAATCAAGATCTATATCTATATCTATATCTATATCTATATCTATATCTATCTATCTATCTATCTATCTATCTATCTATCTATCTATCATCTATCTATCTATGCCTTGACCTTTGTTAGTGAAAACAGCATAAAATTAGGTTACTCTTTTTCACCAAACCCTCTATAATGCAAGTATTACAGAAAATTTAGGACTAACTACCAAAGGAGTCAAATTTGGAATGACTTCTTTATAGCCCATTCTCAGAAAAGGAATTTGCAGCTCTACTCTGCAAAAGCAGGAAGCCACACAGAGAGCTTCTAAACTCTGGGAATAAAAGAGTTCCAGTGAAAACCAACTGCTCTTCGGACTTCTGTGTCTATGCCCTTGGATTCCATGCTGCCTTTGGACTTTATTTGCTTTTGCCCATTCCTAGTGACTTGACCACTGGCAGAACCAGATCTGAATTCCTAAAACCCATCCTCTGCCCAGAACCTCTTTTCCTCGAGGCCTGGTCTCTCTGCCCTTTCCACACTGCCATACTTTGACCTCACTAAACCCTTTCTGGTCTGGACCAAGGACAGTCTTCTGTCCCCTGCCAGGTTCTTTTTTACCAGTTAATTCATTCTGAGAGGCAGCAACTATTTTGATTGGGTGGAATCTGTACCATACTGGTTGTTAAACATTTTCAATATTTAGAGATCAAAGAAAGATGATAGCACTTCCTTGTGAGCTTAGTATTAGAGAAACTGCCAGTGAGAAAAATAGGCTTGTTAAAATGTATTGTTTTTTTTTTTTAAGCGATCTAAAAGTAAATGGAATGTTGTGGTTTGGATTGTGTTCCCAAATGGGAGTCCCAATCCCTGGTACTGTGAATGTGACCTTATTTGGAAATAGGGTTTTAGCAGATTTAATCAAGTTAAGATGGGGTCGTACTGGATTGCAATGACTGGTGTCCTTTTAAGGAGAAGAAACAAGACACACACGGAGAGAAGACCGGCACGTGAAGACAGAGGCAGAGATTGGAGTGATGCAGCTGTAGCCCAGAAGAGGCAGAAAAAGGTGCGTCCCTAGAGCCTTCTGAAGGACCATGGCCCTGCCAGTACTTTGATTTAGGCCTGCTAGTCTCATTTATTCACTAGAGAGTAAGTTTCTGTTGTTGAAGCCACCCAGTTTGTGGTCATTCGTTATGGCAGGCCTGGGATATGAATACATATGTTACACACAACACTTATAAGGTCATTGTGTTTTTAAGATGTGATTTCTTGGGCGCCTGTGTGGCTCAGATGGTTAAGCGTCTGCCTTCGGCTCAGGTCATGATCCCAGGGTCCTGGGATCGAGTCCCACATCGGGCTCCCTGCTTCTTGGGAGCCTGCTTCTC